ACTGATTCTTAATTCTATCAGATTGTGTCCCTAACAGTTTATAAGTTACAGGCCCCTCTTCAGAAAACTTAAAGAGTTTTAGTAACTTTAAACACTTTCCATAGGGCCCTAGAAGGAAAAAAAATCAAACCCTAGGTTGGATGAAAAAACAAAAATCAAAAATAACCCTGCCAAGGAAGCAAGATATTGTGGCTTTGCCTGATGCTGAGTTCCTGATGTAGGAGGGGAGTGAATGCAGGTGCGTGAGTGTGTGGGTTTGTGTTCAGAAGGCCATCTGTCTGCTTGGTGATCCAAGCTATGAAAACAAACAAAAAAAAAAAACAATGCATATTTATGGAGGCTGCAGGTGGAACAGGGCAAGAATGGTTAAATGCAAAGTGGAAGAAGGGCCGGGCAAGAGGGCTTCTTTGAGAATCAACACTGTCTTAGTTTGACACAGTGTCTTTGGCCCCAGAAGGAAAAAGAACTTAATGGACAATAGATGAGCTTTGAGTCTATAGGCATTCACTTATTCATTCATTCCTTACACAGGGATTCATTTGTTCCTTTATTTTTATTCATTCACTTACCACTTGAGCAGCTGCTCTGTGCTGATGCTCAGTGTAATCAGGACATGAATGATATGATTCCTGTCCTCAATGGACTCGCAATGCAAGGAGGTATGGAGTAAAAGTGACAACTCCTGGTGAGTAGTTCAATGTAACAAAACATTTAGTAAGTGTCTAGTAATTGCCAATGCACACTGAGTAATCACTGTTATTAATCTAAACTCTCAGAACTCAGTGAATTTGGTTTTCACGTCACCATTATATAGCTGAGAAGGCCAAAGACCGAATAGAGCAAAGGACGCACTCAAGGTCACATAGCCAGTAATGAAGCCAGGATTCAAACCCTGGTATCTCTCATAGCTTAGGTTACTACCACAGTCCTCAATGGGAAGTATATTTCAGGCACCATGCTAGGTGCTGAGATTACAAAGCTGCATGAGATGTGATCTCTGCCAAGGTTTTCGAGGAACTCAAAGTCCAATGGTTCACATGAATATGTTAAAAGAAAATGACAATCCATTAGGATCATTGCAAAGAGAAGTATTAGAGGTAGCCCAGAGAGATTGAATACTCTATTTGGGGTAAGGAAGGCTTCCCAGAGAGGGTGTGTAATCCCCTAGAATAGCTGCCAATCCCTGGCTCAGTGAGAAGTGTTTGCTAGAGCACTGCCTGAAATAGCAACATGTGGATATGTTCTCATGCTACGTAATTCACATCTTCTGTTAAGGGTTTTGCATACATGTCTCCTTTAATCCTCCAAACAAAGCAAAGGTAGTATTATTTTCTTTTTGTAGATAATAGCATAGAGGATCAGAGATGCAAAAAGCAGCTCAGGGACTCTCAGGAAGTGACTGTGGTAAGAACTACACCCAGATCTCACTCTGGAGACCAGGCTCTGTGCAGACCTAAACCTGAGAAAAATGAAACTAGGTGGAACCTAGAAAAAATGAAACCAGGTGGAACCTAGAAAAAATGAAACCAGGTGGAACAGGCCACTGGGCAGTTTCTCGTCTTACGGGAAACTTGTGGAAGTCTCATGACTTTCTGGAAGCTGCTTAACATACACTAATTGAGTTATCTCTTGTATTTGTCTTTATGGCTAAGGGAAAGGTAGTGAAGGAGTAAACAGTGAGAGGCAAGGGTTTTCAGAGTACAGAGGTACTGTAGGGAGTGTGCGTTCATCAGAGAGGCAGGTCTACTCTGGGAAGCCTGGAAGGCAGGCAGATCCCAGAGCAGGGAGGGGTGTGTGGTATTTGGTATCACCTCTGGGAGGCTTAGGCAAGTGGGATCAACTTTCCAATACATATACTACTCTGTCCTCTAATTACGTTCAATCGTCTTTTTTGGTAAAAAAGAAAACTGAGTCTCTGAGGCAAGGAAATGTATCAAAAGTCTCACAGGTAGGAAGAGAAGGAGCGCAGATTCCAACTGCAGCCACCTGTCTCTATACAATAACCTGAGGTTTTTACTTCTTACCTCTCTTAGGCTTTCGAAAATGTTGAAAATAGCTCATGGAAAAGTCATCATTACCATCAGTTGGTTCTAGTACTCTGAGAGAACGGTGGGTTGGGAGCCACTGCATGCCATTCAGGCAGCCCAGATATTTTGCAAGGAAAATTTCTAGTGCATTTCCTTAATGATTATTTTGGAGTCAGAAATACAGGGTCTTTCTTAATTCTACCAGGGATTTTCATAAATTCCTTCTACAGATAGAGTCATTCATATATTTATTATTTTATTTTATTTGAGACGGAGTTTTACTCTGTCGCCCAGGTGCAGTAGCGTGATCTCGGCTCACTGCAACCTCCGCCTCCTGGGTTCAGGCAATTTTCCTGCCTCAGCCTCCTGAGTAGCTGGGATTACAGGCACACGTCACCATGCCCAGCTAATGTTTTGTATTTTTAGTAGAGACAGGGTTTCACCATGCTGGCCAGGCTGACTTCATGATCTGCCTGCCTCTGCCTCCCAAAGTGCTGGAATTACAGGCCTGAGCCACCAGGCCCAGCCTTCATATATTTATTAAATGTTCCTAAAGCAGCTATGTTGCACCTGGCTTTCATATACCAGGCCATGGGCTTGCATCTGGTAATACAAGGACCCCAGCACATTCAAGGAAGTAACAGGGAAGAAATACTATTGACAGAGGAATGAAGGCACAAAGGTAGGAGTGATCTGCTGCTGTTGTTCAGAGGGAAAGTCCAGAAAGTCCCCCTGAGAACACAAAGTTTGAAGTAAAGTTGGAATGCTGGGGGAAGGCTGCAGAGAGAGTGGGGAGGGGTAAAACAAACAAACACAAAAAGATTTCAGTAGGGCTGGACCAGAAGGAAGTAGACTAGACACATAGGCTGGAGAGGGGACCTGCAGGCAGCCTGCCTGTGTATCTCAGGCAAAGGAGCTTCGATTTTTTTTTTTTCTGGAACTATTAAGCATGGAGACGGTGTGGCCAATTAATAAATTCACAAAAACCAAGGCAGCAACTGGAGCATGTTTCCTTACATATCTAAACCTGTTAGGGGCAAGTGTGGCAATTCAGGCACAAATTGAATTGTAGAGAATGGTATCATGGGGAATGAACCAAATTGAAACACGAAGAGCAGGCCAATGTCTCAGTGACAAGGGGGCCTGATGAGGTGCAAAGGCCTCAGGGAGAAAAATTACTTTTTCCCTGAGCAGCACAACACAGAATAGGGTCCCTAGACTTGGGTTTTTGAAAACGGGTCCTTATCTGGATATGCTTTTTCATGAAAACTAACACGTATAGGTTTCAGAAGCCATATTTAGGTCGGGGATGGTGGTTTCAAGATCCTGGAAGAGTGGGTTAGAGAAATGGACATTGATCAGAAATAAGTTTCACTAAAGGAAAAGGGAGAAGGGGGCGGGCAAGGATGAGAATGGACCAGAAAGACTCCCAACTTAGAGAATGCAGAATCTCAGGTTTGGAAGGACCTCCAGAGCTCTCCTATCCATCTCCCTATGCAATGTGTGAATCGCCCTGGTAATCTTTCTGACAAGAGGTCTGCAAGGCTTGCTTGCATAGCTCCAGGAATGGTGAGCTCACTCTCTGAGGTGTCAGCTGGTCTGCACCTGAGCAGCTCTGACTATGGGAGGGTCAGCCTCACTTTGAACTGAAATTGACTTTCTTATAGTGCCACTCACTAGTCTCAGTTCCAGGATTTGGCTGACACAGAACAAGGTAATCCCTTTTCCATACAGTGGCCTTTGGAGTCCCATTTCGTATCTATGGATTCTTTTATCCAGGCCAAACATTTCTGTGTCCTTCAGCTGCTCCTCATGGAATGCAGTTTCACATCCCCTTGTTAATCGTATTGTTAAACATGCAGGTGTGTCTTTATCTCTCTCTTAGTGCGGGGTCCAGAACAGACAACAGTGTTCCAGGTAGAACTATTTTAGCCTCACAACAGTTCTGTCAGGGACAGAACTGACATTGTTGAGGATCTACCTGACTTTAAAGCACCTTCTCTGTCCACTCATTGTTGAGATGAATGAGGTCAACAGTGACTGAACACGCTAGTTCCTTGGCCGTGGCAAAGTCACATGTGGCCCCTCCTCAAGACCCTTCACTGGCTCCCCAGAGCTGCCTGAATTATGTATAGAAGTTGCGTTCTGCCTGCCAGTTGGAGGTCCTAAATATGAGTTCTGGGCACTTCAGTGGTTTGGAGCAGTACCACAGAGCTGGGAATTTACGGTTCTATCCCAGACTCCCAGGAGTCCCACCAACACATGGGGTCCAGATCCACTGGACCTTGTTGTCCTTAATGTGGTATGCCTCTTGGGTTCTCCACAAGCCCACTGCACATGACCTTTTCCAAAATTTTCGCCCACTGGCTGAACTTTTGTATACCGCAAAGGCCCTGGCCAGCCCTTCTCCTGGCCAGCCCTTCTCCTACTGTCCCTTTGAAACTTCTCAACCACTTTCAAATTAGATGGGCAGCTCTCTTTCAACAACAAAAACACTATCCTCCACTTGAGCAGGTCACTGAGCTCCTCTGAGCTTCACTATCAACTCTGCCTCTTAGGTTATTCTGAGGATCGAATGAGAAAATGGGTATTAGATACACAACACTATTAGATACCATAATACTGTAATGTGTTAGAAGAATTACTTCTTCTAAACCATGGCTGGAGACTTTTGCCCTAGAATACCTAGGACCTTGAGGCCCTTAAACAGAGCAGTTTGCATGATTCAACTCACGCCCACTCGTGGGACCAGACCTTCATTCAGATTGGCACCCTTTCCTCAGCGCTATCATTTCTGCCTCATGTCTCCTTCCTCCGGCCCACTGAAGATTCCCCAGCATGCAGTCCCCAGCAGAAACACGTGGGGCCATGACACTCATTCCAAGAGAAGGGTCTCCTTCCACAGGCTGTAGACATAGCCTCAGTGTGAATCCAGATCGCCGAAACCTGGCAGTAGAGAGGAGATGTACTTACACTTACAGGTTGACTTTTTGGCACATCATAAACACCTTCCTTCTTTTGGCTGGTGGGAACCTATGGAAAAATTAAATTCAGCACAGTCAAAACACTCTGGTACTCCAATTTCAAAGAACAAAGCAACCAGACTTCAACTGCAAGCTGGTTAAGGGTATCTGAAAATGGCCCCCAGGACAAGCCCACGGGAACCTGCTCTAACTGTGAAAGTATCAGGCCAGTCTCCCTCCCTTAGGAGCATCAGATGGGGAGAGGGAGTGGGCATCATTTAACAAAGGTTTATAGGTCGTCTCTGCTATCGGGCTCCTCGCAGAATCAAAGACTAGAAACCTGTACAGACTTCAGAAGTCACGTGACTTCTGAAAAAAAAATCCTCATTTCCTTAGACAAAAATGAGGCCCGGGGAGGTGCTATACTGCTCCCGAAGTGATTAGAAACAGTTTGTAGCTGAGCTTAAACTGCTCAATGCTGAGTCTGAGATCCAGGCTATTTAAAATATAGCAAATATCAAGATCCTAGCACAAAGCACATCTTCTATTGGTATCATACACAAGCCATCTGATAATTATGGAAGGTTTTCATGGAAGAAAAAGGCCCACAAGTGGTATGGAAAGTGTGGGCCTAGTATGCAGAAGATCTTGAGGGCTTTTAACATTAATCTGCATCTTCCTCCCTTCCCTTCCTCATCCATCTGGTCTCACTGTGTTATGAGCTAACTGTGACAGCCTGAGCAGGTCACTGAGCTCCTCCGAGCTTCACTACTATCAGCTCTGCCTCTTACTCAGGTTATTCTGAGGACCGAGTGAGAAAACGGATATTAGATACACAACACTATTACATACCATAATACTGTAAATGTGTTAGAAGAATTACTTCAGTTACTGACACATCATAAAAATATATATGAACACATCTTATGATACTAACAATAGTGGATATGTTGACTACTTTTCAAATGAGTCAACCAAGGGTTTTTCACTGAAAGATTCCAGATTGGAAGCACTCATTAGTTGTTCCTTTCCCAGCAACTGTCACAGCATAGCTCACACTCCCATTGCAGGACCCAGCCAGCAGTGGTTTTATAATGGTCTGACAACATGCCTTTCTTTCCATCATATTGGGAGCTCCTTAAGAGCAGGCATAGTGCCTAACACCCAGTAGGCTCTCAGTAAATGTCTGCTGAGACATATGGTAAACGTATGATAGAGGAATGTGGGGAATAGTGAAGGAGAAGTATCTTTTAGGCTTGAGCTAGCTACCTACACCATTGTTCTATAAGAAGTAAGAATTTGAGTTTATTCCATAGGTCCCTTTGACACTTCTCATCTCATTTAACTTAAAATCTTTGCAACAACTCTAAGAAACTGGTATTACCATCTCTACTTTAAATAGGAGAAAGTGGGGCTCAGAGATGTTAGGGACTTTGCCCAAATCTTCAAAGCTGGTAAGTGGCCAGGTTCAAACCCAGCTCTTTCTGGTAGCCAAACAAGACATCTATTATTAATAATGTGAGCTAACATGGACTGGGTGCTTCCTATGTGCCAGGCGCTATTCTAAACATTTGTGTCTTATACACATTCTCATGCAATCCCCAAGACAGGTCCGTCAGGTAATAACTCAGTGGGTCCCATGTTGCAGAGGAGAAAAATATCTCTGGCAGTAGAGATATTTGCCCTAGAACACCTGTGACCCTGAGGCCCTTGGACAGAGTAGTTTGTGTGATTCAACTCACTCTGTGAGTGCAATCCGTGAATGGGGAAGCCAAAAGCTTGAGCCCAGGGAGTTTGCCATTTGACTGCTACATTATTCAGACAGCTGTTTCAAGTGGGCCTTTTCTTTGACATCACATCCTATGTTCCCAGAAGCTCATGTACACTCTTGCAGAAAACAGAACTGAGTGAGCATGGCTGTGTCGGTGGTACACTTCCAGAGCTGCTCTTGCAAGCTTCACTGTGCAAGTAGCCAGCGAAGAATGTCATTTCTTTGCTCCTGATAACTGAGCTCCATCTAAAAGAAATCCACTAAGAATGCCTACAGAGTCCTTGTTAATGAGGGCCAATAAATTACCAGCCCTCACTTTTGTTTTTACTAGCTCACCCTTTACTGAGCAAAATGAAGAACATTCTGTTGCCCGTAATTCACTGCTCACTACGGGCACTTAGCACAGTTGAACCGCAGCTGCCTCTCAATTATCCCTGCAAACGGAGAAGAAGCGGTGGAATGGATAAACCCAAACTGTGCATAATTGAAAACGTTTTTCTACTTGGCTCTCCCATGGGTGAGATATCAATCTGCCTGTTTGTCCTTTAAGATTTATCTCAGCTGGGATATCTTCTTGGCAGCCTTGCCTGATTCTCTAGGCCTTGTTTGGAGCCTTCCCCTGTACTCTTGTAACCTCTGATGCATTCTTTCATTAAAAAATAAAAGTTGCTAAGTATGTATTATGTGTCATGCATCATGCATTCCCTGGGACAATGATGGTGAACACGATGGATACGGCCCCTGATTTAACAAAGCTCCTTGTCTTATTGCGGGAGATGGAAAAGTAATCAGACTACTGAAATAGAGTGTAAAGTGTGCTTTATCTCATCATGAGGGTTATTGCACCACATTGTAACTGTTCCAGGGTCTATAAGCTTGCTGAGGGCAGGTTGGGATATTTTATTATCCTTGTAACCACAGCTGTAAATATTGGTGAACAAAGAAATGCCTAATCGCCAAGGATTCAGTCCATGAGGGCTAAGATGCATGGTCCTCGCTGTCATCTGTGCTTAGTTGTTCCATTCTGTTTACACAGAAGGCTTCAGTAACACAATATTTTAGAGAAATAAAAGTTTCAGACCAAAAGGAACCAGAAGACTGGTGGTTCCAAATCCTGGGTCTGCCACAGGCTATGACTCAGAGAGTCCCTTTGCTCTCTGAACTTCAGTTGCCCCATCTGCCCAGTGTGAGCATCTAAGGGGGCTGTCTATAAACTTCTGAGGGTGGGGGCCATGCCATGGTCACCATCCCATCCCCGTGCCGGATGCATGTGATTTTCCATGTGTCCAGTCATTTATTTGTTCTATAAATAATCATTTTTTTTTTTTGGTATGAACAAGCGAATAGATGTTAAATTACTCTAAAAACAGCACATTACATACTATACATACAGAAGACACTTTTACTTTTATTTTGGCAGCATGTTAATTAATAGTATGGAGAGGCAGTTCCAGGCTTTGTTGGGTAACATTTCCTGGTGACTCATCATCATTTAAAAATAATGATACTTGACATGGATTGGATGGTTAACAGCGGTTTTTGAATGAATGAACTTGGAAAATGGCCATGTGGAAGGCTGATATCTTGCTTATATAGGAAGCCTGTTCAGGTATTGAAGAACACTAGATTTAGAATCGGAGGTTCTGACTTTGTATTCAGCACCTAAATTGAGGGAACTTGATTTTCTTATGTTCAAAATGATAGTCATTGTAGCTATTTTTCCTATGTCACCATTATTGGAAGGATCAAAATTAAGTGATGTGTAAAAATGTTTTGTATTGGGAGGCTGATAATTTTAATACAGCTGATAACTTTTTCTGAGGCATGCAAAGCAAAAGGCAGTTATTATTATTACTATAATTGGGAAAACAAGACTACTCAAAAAATCTCCAAAAAAGAGGTTACATTTACTCAAAAGCCTCCGTGTCCCTTTTGTTGGAGTTACAAATAGGAAAGTGAAGCAAGCTTGAGGATTTCTGCTAGGCCCTGTGACAACATGTGGTGAGCAAGTTATATTCTGTTTCACTTAAAACATGATCATAAGACATCTTCAACAGCATCTGAAACTGAAAACACGCAAAGAAGGAGGAGAAACTCACGTTTACACAGAACCTACTATGAACCAACTGCTCTCCTCCTCGTTTTACGTTTTCACATCACTGCTAGGAGCAGAGACTATATTATCCCCATTTCATAGCCCAGAAAATTGAGATACAAAAATTATGTTCTCCACTCAAGTTCACAAAAGAGTTAAAGGTCTCCAGGACTGTCTGCCTCACTCCAGAAAACAAGGAGGTGAATAAAAGCTGAGACCACTGGCTGGGCCAAGCTGAAGTATTAACAAACACTGCAATTCAGGAGAAATAGCTATGGAACACTCACAAGCCCTTGGAAAAAAAAAAAAAGAATGAGGCTCCTAATAGCAGCCCCTTAAAAGCCCAGCCTTATCTTCAGGCCCAAAAGCTTATCTCTTATTAAGTAAATTGAGCCCCAGCAGACTGGCAAAGGAGGAGAAGAGAATGACCAGAGGTTTTTCCAATAGAAGGAGATAAAATATTCATTCCCTTAAATGGTAGCTTCCTGTTAATGATGGACAGATGGGAAGATGTGGAGGTCAGAGCTGTTAAAACAAGTGTGATTTTTAGATAGTGACTTGAAAGGGACTTAGAATCTAATTGTGAAACTCAGAATCAGGGGATTCTGAGCCGAGAGCAGCCTCAGGATTTATTTCTTTATTTACAGAGGTCAGAGGGACCTGCAATGGGGACTCTACCTCTTGCTAGCTCTGGGACCCTGGGCAAGATACCTTATCTCTGTGAGCCTCACTTTCCTTATCTGTAAGGTGGGAATAATGATTCAAGCCACATGGGGTTGTTGTGAGACATAAGATATTGCACTTAAACCCCATTCACAGAGCTGGCCCACCATCAGCGCATGTGCACATGCAAATTTTCCCACCTCCACCATTTCTGAGTCTTATTATCCTGTAAAACAAGCCAACATGCTTCTCTTAAAAAAAAAAAATCAAAGTCCTATGGTAAAGCAGTAATTGCAAAAAACAGAAAAGGGTCTTGCCTGAGAGAGCCCTGTATTTTACTTGCTCATTTTACAGATGAGTAAACTGAAGCCCAGAGAAAAAAAAAATACTTGACAATTCAATTAATGGCTGAGTGGTACTTGTACTAAAATACTGAATCCACACAGCCAGACTCCACTTTCTGTGACCCATGATGACACCTCTTCTTTCCATTCTACACATGAGCTTGTGAGTTAGGGAAAAACTGTTCATCTGTTTTATAAAGAGAGAAACTAAGTGCCTTGCCCACTACCACTCAGCCAAAGGTAGTTGGCAAGAGAGCCTGGACTACAACCCAGCTCTCCACCAGCTAAAGCAGGTCTTTCCAATACACTAGGATGTCTCCCTCCCCACTGGGCCCTGACTGCAGTCCCACAGGGCTCAACGGGAGCCCTGCCAACTATAGTTAAGTCTGGATTCAGAAACCTCTAATACTGCAAAGCTTCCTTTTATTCAAAAGGGGCCTTCTCTTCCCAGGATGATTGGTTAATGGATTTTTCCTCCTCATATTCAGATACTGTAAGGTTGTATATACTTTAAAATCTGACACTCAGGACAAATGTAACTTTTCTTATTAAAGATACTTGGTAAGCCACGACTTTCAACAAAACCTCAAAGCACAACCTCACATTTGAATGGAATCCAGATAGATCCAGTGGAGAGAAATACTCAGATTATTACTCAACAAGGCTGACAACTTTAAACCAAGTTTTTGGTAGAACTAACATTATATTTTAGTCATTTAGAATTCTATGCATTTGATAGAAAATGAAAATGTTTTACTTTTATTATATAAGTAATAAAAACCCAAGGCAGAATAGAGCACACAACTAACAAAATCAAAATCACTTATTAAATACATTAAAATGTTTTCTTCTCCTATAATGTTTCTATTTCAAATTGGGACTACAATACTAATGAGTGAAAAGTTGCAGGTCATCATATCTATTTGATGTGCTGCTATGCTGCAATTACACAGACACTTTGGTGGAAGACCATGGCAGAAGGAGCCAGAGCTTCGCCTTCACACCCATGCCTGGGTTTGAATCTTGGCTCTAAATAGTTGTACAACCCCGAGAAAGCTACTCGGCTTCTCTGAGTCTCACCCTATAAAAACAGAACTAAAATATCTAGTTTATAATATCTTCGTGAGAACTAAATGAGTTTAAAAAGTTTCGTTTTCTTTGCACAATTAAAAACAAGGGTAAAGCCTTTAGCTGTACTTTCATTCAGTTAATATTCTCAATGTTGTTTTCACATAGCATTTGAAATTAAATTTGTGCTTTATTTTCAGCAGTGGAGTTGGCTTCTTAAGAAATTTGTTGAGCAAAATTTTTTGAGAAATAAAGGATCCTAATTGTACAACGGACACCAGCTCTCCAATGTATTACCTTGGTAAAATGGAACATTTTATTTTTGTTTCTACTTAAAATAGTTAAGATCCATTCAAAAGTGAAACACTGTACCTAACTGGCTATTAAACATCAACAACAAGGCATGAAAACTACTGGGAAATTCCTGGGGAACTAGAAGCCAATTCTCTCAAAGATATTTTAACAAGCCTGGAATGACCAACAGAACCCTTGGTTCTTTAGACTATCAGTGTATTTACGCATTTACTAGTAGTGGTGCAATGGTAAGAGAGGCAAGCAATTTTATACCTGATAAATGTTTTCTTCCGTTTCGGGATCACGGATTGGCTCGTGTCCAGCCTCAAACACAATGTACTATTACAGGAGCAGCCAGAAAGGAAAGGTCAGAGGTGAAAAAGAAGAAAGGAAAAACAAGCATTTGGAAATTAAGATACAAATCACAGTGAGCATTTAAGAAGCAGGCACAAGAGAAAACACCTTAAAGACACAACTGAATTATTGAAACAAAATGTACCTTGTACATTCCTGCCTTTCCTAAGGAAAACTGCACAGGTCTGCTGGTCAGTATTTCAGCAGTGATTGCATTGAGCCTCTGCAGATCTTTCTGGAGATATAACCTCTTCGTTCAATGGCAATTTGTCTCAGTAATATCTGAATACGTTGGTAGTGATGAGTATGAATGCTATCTCATTGGAATGCCTGGGATCCCACACTTTGTAAAGTATGGGTTACAGTTGAGGGGCATCCCTTTTCCCCTAAGGCTCAAAATCCTAAACAAACTCTGAAGAGCTTGGAAGCCCCAAACTCTTTTTTTTTTTTTTTTTTTTGAGACGGAGTCTCGCTCTGTCGCCCAGGCTGGAGTGCAGTGGCCAGGTCTCAGCTCACTGCAAGCTCCGCCTCCCGGGTTCACGCCATTCTCCTGCCTCAGCCTCCGGAGTAGCTGGGACTACAGGCGCCCGCCACCTCGCCCGGCTAGTTTTTTATATTTTTAGTAGAGACGGGGTTTCACCATGTTAGCCAGGATGGTCTCGATCTCCTGACCTTGTGATCCGCCCGTCTCGGCCTCCCAAAGTGCTGGGATTACAGGCTTGAGCCACCGCGCCCGGCCCCAAACTCCTTTATCCCATAAATATCACCTTATTTTACATTCTCACTTTAAAATACATTAAATCAATGTTTCCACATGCATGTTTTAGACTCTGCAGGACTGAGACATTTCAAAAAGGCTATTATTCTTCATTCTGTGCAAGCCAGTGAGCCAGAGGGTGAAGTTCATATTATATACAAATCCTCGGCCCTCAGTATTCTCAAGCAAGAGCGTGTCATTACGTGCATCTTTGGCTTTGGTTTGCCATATACACTAGATACTTTTTCCACTTCAAGTTATCTATATTATGTTACTTTCATTGTAGCAGTACCAGCTTTTTGTGTGAAAATATGCATTTATATAAAATATGTATGTGACACACACACACAAAGAACACCTATGCATCCCAGTTAGAACTGTAAGTTCAAGATTTTCCTTTGTGTTCAAAAAGTCATTTTTTTGGGCTTCTCTTTCTCCTTGAGAATAAGCACAGGGGAGGGAGAGGCTGTCTTTTCCCTTTTTTTCTGCATCTCTGTTTGAACAAACCACATACTTGACCCCAAGAGAGATAATTTCTCTACCCACCACTGAGCTGCAGATCTTGAAGAGAGTCCAGAGAAAGCTAGGGGCAGAAGTGTCTTTAAGGTCACTCTTTCCTTCCTCCCAACAGTTCCTATGGCATGAGCCAGGTAATCGGAGGGTCAGCTTGCCCCATCGGGGGTCAGAGAGCCCTCCTCGTAGCCTTTCTAAAGCTTAGAAACCATCCTTTGGGTCTGTGCTGAAATGTTACCAAAACGTCAGCCCCCACCTCTGGTTCTTAACTCAGAGAAGCCACCTCATTATTCATATTCTCTCTAATGAACTCAGAATATTCAAGAGACTCTTGAAAACATTCAGCTCTGGGATCAAACTTCTACAGACTGTGAAGGGGGCCGAGGCAGAGGCAAGAAGGGAGAAGCGGATCTCCAAATCCCAAGATACCGATGCCGGCCAAACTTCTGTTAGTTTTTATGGAAATTTGCTCCTGGAGGGGCTGGCAGCCCTCGCCCTCAGAAATAATCTTGGTCTCTCTCCAGGTTTTGCAGTCAGTGGATTCTTCAGGTTTCTGACAAAATGGCTCTGGCACAGGTCTAGTCACTCTTGAATCTAAAACCCCACCTAGTTTCAGAAATTACCTGGTACACAGGATCTTCAACATCCTCTTCCAATATTGTCTATTGCAGAATAAGGAGAGGGAGGGTAAAAAGCAGAGGACATAAAGAAAGAGATGTGAGACTGCATTCAGAAATTATAGGAGAGTAAAGAAACCAGCTCTGGGCAGAAGAGGCTGGTGGGTCATCAAGGCAGAAAAAACACAGAAAAGTCAAAACCCTTAGAGCCACCCCCACCTCCACCCCACTGTTAACGATAGCAAAAGCAATTGTGTTTCTTGGGTCCTCCACCCCTGAAATCTTTCTCTGGATTCGAGATTTCACTTCATCCAACATGTCTAGAGTTTAAGAGAATAAGGGATAATTTCTAATGGCTTGCTTTGGGTACTGTAATTTACACAGGAATCTTTCATCTTCGTTTATTTCTACTTGGCAGCAGGAAGAGAAGGCCCGACTGTCAGTTTTTACATGTGTTTATTTGAAGCCCGATCTGCAGCGCAAGGATAAATTCACAGGTATACCTGGTACACAGCTTGTTCACACTGCTTATCCTTTTGTGCCTTTTTTTCTAATTCTTCTCTTTGCTTCAATTCATAAATGAGTTGAAAGAGATCTCTCAAGTCCAGAATAACAGGTTCAGCCTGGAGTGAAAGGTGGTAAGGCATATCATAAGGGAATGGTACTGAGATGCAGCAACCAATTTTTGTTTTTGCGGCGACAACCCGCAGCCCTTCCTTTTTCTATTAATCTGAAAGCATTCCATTCTTAATTAATTCTACCTTGTTTATACTGGTTTAGCAAATTGCATCTAGGCTAAAGTTCATTTCTTCAACTAATTATATTTGCAAATTCATAATAATCATAAGCATCAAAGGCATTGCTTTTATTTATTAGTGATTTAGAATACAATAAAATTAGAGTAGGCCTTATGCAAAACAGCTATTTGTTTTCTCTTATTTTCTTTTTAAATGAGGCTATGAACACAAGGCAACTTATGTGTACACGGTGCCTCCATCCAGTTTAATCAGAAAGGAAAATAATTAGTCATTAGGAAATACCCATTAGTAAAAAAAAAAAAAAAAAAAAAAAGAAAAAGAATAAACTGGATGGGTATGAGCATGTTTCCTTCCTTCAAGGCTGTTTATCTTTTCTAGATGGGAATGTGAGCATCAACTTCAGTGGAAATGCATTGCTTGGTCATATCTCAGAGTGCGCCCTCAAAGACCAACGGAGTCACAGGACTGTCCTCCCAGAGTTCCAAGGGAAGGCTCCCTTCTTGGATAGGGATACTCACCGCCTGGGCTGTTTTTATGGCCACAAATCTGTGATTCCCTTCCTTCCCACAAACATATCCAAAGGCCCGGTGATCTGTAATGTCCTTTGCAATGTAGGATATTTCATGAACAGCATGATGATGCTGAAGGGCCTATCAGAGAAAAAAATGAAGAACATATTTCAGGGGACTTTCCCTTCGAGCTGTTGATCAATAAGAAATGTGTTTCAGCTATGTGTGAACAGGCCCGAAGGGCTTTGGAAAAGCTGTTTAGTCCAGATGGAAAGAAAAAGAGCTACGCCTGCCCTTGAGAAATGGAGGCTTCTCTCTACGGTCTTAATCCTGTGACCAGAGAGAAACACAGGATTGTTCATATGCTGAATAAGCATCTGCAATGGTGGCTTTATTCAGCTTGCTAGAGCCAGCGTTTAGTTCAATGGGTAGGCTTCTATTTGATCTTGTTTTCATGACACATCCCAGTCCAACTTTTGGATTGATATTTAATTTACTTAAATTCTCAGGGACTCTGTGTGCTGTGGTGGAGGATGTACACTGTACAACTCCAGGGAGTATTGTTAACACTCATAGAACTATAGATGTGCATGGTGACAACACTTTTCCAGCAGATGGTGATAGAGTGTGTTGAGGAATAAATGCCTTTCTCTGTTTTGTCCAAAGTCACCACTGGGGGTAGAGGTGGGGCTATGCATATCTCTCAGGCTTTTCATTGCTAGGTCTCTCTGTCTGCAACATCAACTCTTTTTATTCACTTGTCCACATCCTATTTCTCTTTCAATGGCCATAGGAAATAGTATCACCTGTGTGAAACTTCCTCTGAACAAGGCTTGCCTTCTCTCTCCCTGGGGAAATAATTCCACCCTCATTTGTGTTTCTGTAGAACTTTACTTTCTAATGACACTGAACTGATGAATTCCTTCAATGTTGGTCCCTGGACTTCCTTACTCTCACAGGTCTTCCTTCTCTGATATACTTGCATGATTCCTTGTCTGTCTTTCCCACCTGGTTCTGTCTTCCTTATCCCTGTCATCCTAGCACCTTGCACTATGGCTGGATTATAGTTGTTGAACTAAAGTAAACTGAGATTGATAATTAGTCATTTGAAAATCTTTTATAGTTGACCTTTGTGCCTTCATTATCTGAGCTTCAACAGATAATGTTCACCATCCTATAGGGTAATGGTGATCTTTATGGTTATTTTCCTATACTAAACCTACTTAAAACAATCCTCATTCAACAGTACTCTGTAAAGGCTTGTATATTCATCTGGGTGCTCATGGTATGTTTAAAGTCCTTATAAAGAGCCTTTTCATTATACTGGGTATTAGGAGGCTTGAATTCTAGCTACTGTGTAAACACAAGGTACCCAGTGTATCCCTGTGTACCTCAAATTTAACCCTCTAGTAAATGGGAGGTATGTACCAGATCAATGGCTCATAACCCAAAGCCCTAGATCCTTAGGGATCATTCAGTGTAATAAAAAGAGGCCCCATGCAATTTTCAAAATCTCAAAAGCTAAACAGAAATCTATAATTACTCCTAATAAGTCTATACTTTTCTATGTGTATGCAAATGAAAATGCCAAGTTTATTTGGAATTTCTTTCTTTTGAGACAGGGTCTCACTCTGTCACCCAACCTGGAGTGCAATGGTGCCATCTTGGCTCATTGCAACCTTCACCTCCCGAGTTCAAGTGATCCTCTCGCCTCAGTCTCCTGGGTAGCTGGGACTACAGGTATATGCCACCACAGTCAGCTCATTTTTTTGTAGAGATGGGGTTTCGCCATGTTGCCCAGGCTGGTCTCAGACTCCTGGGCTCAAGCGATCCACCTGTCTTGGCCTCCCAAAGTGCTAAAATTACAGGTGCAAGCCACTGCACCTGGCCATTTATTTGGAATTATATCAGCTAAGTGTTGCTAATATTCCTTAACTCATATTTGAGTATATTCTCTTACTGGCAATTAGTTATGGTTTAAATAGTCCAAATAGGAAAATGGATGATTACAAATGCAGTTTTTTTGGTAGACAGAATCTTCCCGAATTCCTGAGTCCATGGAGGGAGAGAGAAATGTTAACACAGGAGAAGTTAGTTACAAAAACATTGGGAACCACTGGAGTAGATACTCTCTAAGCTCTTATTCTATCTTCCCAAATCCTTTTAAGCCATTAGGACCCCCCACTACAAAATCAGCCTCCTGGTACAGTGGGCCTCTGGCTTTCACGATGGTCATCGCCTAGATGACCACTGATCTAAAATGTCCACCTCTTGGCCGGTTGCAATCTTTCCAGGCATTTGACCTCATAAATCATTTTTTGCAGTAGAATTTTCTGCCTTACCTTAAATTTCCAGGGTCTGACTATTCACTAACCTTTCTGACTACTCTTAGAACTCTCTCTTTGGCTTCATGCTTGCCCACCCTGCCCACTGCCCACTGGACATCATGCTTTAATGGTGGCATGACTGCCCAGTTACCCTAGTCCCTCCAGTGGCAATAAAACGAATATGTGAGTCTAATGGTTTTTGACACAAATAAGTTGGCGGAGAAGGACATATTTGCTAGCAAAATAATTAGGATCCATTAATTTTTGTTTTATTAAGAGGACATGTTTAGCTAGCAGAGGAAAATTGCTCAAAGAGTGGTAGCTTTTTCATGGTGTTAATGATGTAAAATTGATGAGATTTACATTCGCGCAACATGGGGGCATTGATTTACAGGCTTTTGTGTGCTAGAATGGTAGCCAGCAGGGAAAAGTGGGAGACAAAGACGTTCTTCTCTTCCTTTCCTGAAAGTATCTCTCTCTCTGCACAATGTGGAGAATGTTATCCACGTTTCCTATTAAATCAAAGTTTGACGACAGTGCCTTATTGATTGCCAAGTAGAATATTGCTCTAAAATTAAACTGCGATTAGAAGTCTTCCTGGTGGAATTAGATTTGGAGATGATTGTGCAATGGTAAAATATCACCTACCAGGCAAGACAGCAGATGGAGATGTTTTAATTTATCTGGGAATCCTCATTAAGTGTTTTAAAATCAAAACATTTTTAATGCCTGATGATACCTAATACTGCCTTGCAGAGTGTAGCTGTGTGTGTGAGCGTGCAGTGCTTAAAGATATTTGTAACGTTATTCTCTCTCATAGTTAATTTTATGACATGTTAAAAAGGATTGCTCTGAACGTGTCTCATTCATTCGGAAATGAGTCAGTGAGGGGATATGTCTTCCTTCTCTCCAACCTTAACCATGCAGACGTAACATAGATACTTAGAAACACAAATACATTAGAATTCTGCTAATCCCACAATTGCATTATCACATTCGCTTTAGAAACTTAAGAGTGTATCATGAAAATTCTTGTTCACTGAGCCTCAAAATTACCCCACGTCTTCAAGTAGACTTTATCAGCACAATCAAAGACAGTTGGAACCTTAAACATCAATCCTGAGTTTATTCATGAAGGGACTGAAGGTCAGAGATTGAAATGCCAGGACCAATACTAAACCCAGGTGTTTTTCCTACTCAGGATAACAAAGCATTAAAAAAAGGAAACCCAATTACATAGAATCAAAGTCTCCTTTCCTTAGACTTTGGGTTCTCTCAACCAACAACAAAAAGATGATCCCTTGATAAGTTGGGATGAGGAAGGCAAGGGAAGAAGAGAACTGGGTAAGGGGAGAGAACTGAGAATGTTCTAGATTCAGGCAGGTATCCGAAGTCAGGGAGGGTCATAAATCAGAAGGCTTGGGGTAAAGGCCGACCACCCGGCTCTCAAAGAAAAAGGTCAAGACAGCACGGCCCTGAAGTTTACTCTCAGGAATTGGCTGTCTCTGGCACCTGTTGAGCATCCGTAGGCAGCAAGGTGAGGTGCAGCCTTTGGTCCTAGTGTGTCCAGAACTGGTGGGTTCTTGTCTCACTGACTTCAAGAATGAAGCTGCGGACCCTCGCAGTGAGTGTTACAGTTCTTAAAGATGGTGTGTCCTGAGTTTGTTTCTTCTGATGTTCGGACGTGTTCAGAGTTTCTTCCTTCTGGTGGGTTCGTGGGCTCGCTGGCCTCAGGAGTGAAGCTGCAGATCTTTGCAGTGAGTGTTACAGCTCTTAAGGTGTCGTGTCTGGAGTTGTTCGTTCTTCCGGTCCAGAGTTGTTCATTTCTCCCGGTGGATTCGTAGTCTCACCTTCCTCAGGAGTGAAGCTGCAGACCTTCACAGTGAGTGTTACAGCTCATAAAGGCAGTGCAGACCCAAAAAGTGAGCAGCAGCAAGATTTATTGCAAACAGCGAAAGACCAAAGCTTCCACAGCATGGAAGGGGACCCGAGCTGGTTGCCACTGCTGGCTGAGGCAGCCTGCTTTCATTCCCTTGTCTGACCCCACCCATATTCTGCTGATTGGTCCATTTTACAGAGAGCTGATTGGTCCGTTTTGACAGGGTGCTGATTGGTGCATTTACAAACCTTGAGCTAGACACAGAGCGCTGATTGGTGCATTTACAATCTTTTGGCTAGACATAAAAGTTCTCCAAGTCCCCATCCTACTCAGGAGCCCAGCTGGCTTTGCCTAGTGAATCCTGTGCAGGGGCCATGGGTGGAGCTGCCTGGCAGTCCCCTGCGGCATGCCCCCACTCCTCAACCCTTGGGTGGTCCATGGGACCGGGCACCGCGGAGCAGGGGACGGCGCCCCTTGGGGAGGCTCCAGCCTCGTGGAAGCCCACTGGGGCGGGGGCGCTGGGGCATGGTGGGCTGCAGGTCCCTAACCCTGCCCCGTGGGGAGACGGCTGAGGCCCAGCGGGAATGCGAGTGCAGCACGGTCGGGCAGGCAGTGCTGGGGGACCCAGCGCACCCTTCACAGCTGCTGGCCTAGGTGTTAAGCCCCTTACTGCCCCAGTTCCGGCCAGCGCCTCTCCCTCCACACCTCTCCACAAGCAGAGGCAGCCAGCTCTGGCCTCGGCCAGCCCAGAGAGGGGCTCCCACACTGCAGTGGTGGGCTGAAGGGCTTCTCAAGCATGGCTTGAGTGGACTCTGAGGCCGAGGAGGCACCGACAGCGAGGGCTGCTAGTTGTTATACCCACTAGGGTATAACAACTGCTCCATCCCAGGAGTGCTTCTGTGGTCAGTTCCTGGGGCCTTGCAGGTAGTTCCAGA